TATAGCATTTGTCCCTTTGTGACTGAGATACCTCACTCAGCATAATGTCCTCCAGGGTCACCCATTTTGAATAATATTGCATGAGTTCCTTGTTTTTGAGAAGATATTTGTAAGCTAGGTTAAGACCATGGGAAAGAGTTCATGTTTGTTGAGCACTTTTAGGAAGAAAAAACAGGATTATCTTTATAAAAAGAGAGACTAGGCAACCTAGAGGCTTAGAAGCTTGCTCCCAAGATGGTATCCCTCCTGTGGGCTGCCCAGTCATCACAAAGTAGATGGTGTCTCTAAGGCTGCTGAGGAAGGAAGGACAAAACCCAGTTCAGGCCAAGAAAGACAGTTTATTGACAAGAAACTGGTGGGCTGGCTCTAGAGACCAGCAACTACTTAGAGTGGAGTTTTATATTGTCATACAAAGAAGTTGGGAGGGAAGATGTTCACAGCTGCTTGCTCTAACAGAGATAAACAGAGTTGCAGCTGCTGCTTTGATCATTTCAGTGGCTGTTCTGAGGAAAGAGAGGGAAAGCAGCTCCAGGGCCCTGACAGTGTCTATCCGGCTAGGTTCCTAGTTATCATGGAGCATGCTCCTCCAAGGTGGCTGACCTCTCATAAAGGGTCTCACAGAGGTCATAGAGGGATCATTCAAGTGGCAACTGAAAGTTCTTAGAGTTAAGAGAGGACACCTGTGAGTGTCGAGGCTAAGGTGTAAGGTGTACTTCTAGGTCTTGTGAGCCCTGTATTTAGCTGAATGTTGGCTTTCTTGGTCTGAACTGTCTCAGGGAAATACTTAGACTTAACACCTCATGTAAAGAGGAAAACAAAGCAGGAAAGTCTGCGGTTCAGTGCAAATCTAGCATTTAAGCTTAAAACCACTAACATTCTCCTCCGTATTCATTGATGAGATCATGTTTGATACAAGGTCAGAAGTGTCACAAAAGGGAGCTCAGCTGACTGCTGAATGCAAAGGCAAATTATACTAGTGTAAGTATTTCAACCTAATAAGGAGCCCCACCCCATCTTGATTACCCTTCTAGACTTAGAGGGCAATTAAACCATTTTTAAATATTATTAAAAGAATGTTTTCTGCTGCTTTCTGGTCTGCTGCATGCAGATGTGTGGCCCCGTGAACTTTGAGCACACTGAACTTCATCTACTAGGGCTGGACTCAGCAGTGGTGCACTTGGACTGCCAAAAGCTTTCAGGGTTTTATGTAGAAAAATCAGGGTCGCATTTGCTGTAAAGAGTGGCTCTGAAAGAAATAAACAACTTAAAAATACGAAAATAAACATTTCAAAGACAGTCTCTCTTCCACTCTCTCCTTCCCATCTTCTCCTCCACTTCATCTCTCTTTCTCTCCCAACCTCTCTCTCTCCCCAACCTCCATCCCTCCTCTCCTCTCCACAAGTTAGATCTGACTCACAGCTGACCCTCCTTTGGGTCTTCTGAGGCTGTAAATAGCACGAAAATTATCTATCCTGTGGAGCCGCTGGGGGATTCAAATTGCCAGATGTGCCACCTTTGGGGTTAGCAGTGCAGCTTCCACCAGAGCTCTGCACCTATTAAGTGCACTGTCTTACTGGTTTTTTAAGTAAACTTAGTATATTCGCCAGGACAGAAATAAGGGTTGCAGCCCTTTGCATGTGTAGGAGAAAATTAATTGGCAAGATCAGAACAAAAGGTGTACTCTTAGATACCCTTCTCTTTCCACCTGGAGGGAGCTCCTTTCCATGTCTGTTCCAGACTGTCTTGAAGGAGCCTTTCCCTTCTGTTTCACTTCAGAGACAGTCTTGAATGAATTTTATCTAATCAAGATTTTTCAAATTATTTTAAAAAGCAGGTGGTACAAACAGCCTTGCCAGAAACACAGGATCCCGAAGAAATCTCAGTCACTGTCAGGGCCTTTATGACAGCTGGGCTGCCTAATGAACTGCTGGAGCTGCTGGAGAAGATCATCCTGCATAACTCTGTCTTCAGTGAGCACAGGTGAGCCTGTCTGTTTCAAACCCCCTGCTTGACATATTCTAGGATGATTGGGTCTCACCTCACCCATCCAGCCTCTATATCACCAACACATAGCCAGCTGCTTCAAAACTTAAAAATAAACCAGTCCTCAAATTCATTGCCTTTGTTTGGGAACCAGCTCTTAACTGATCCTTCACTGAGTTTTCCAAAACTGTAAATCACATGGGAGGATTTACAGGACATTTTCTCATTTAAAATATGAAAACTAAAGCCATAAATTTCATAGAAGAAAACATATGGAAGTAGTATCAGGGTTATTTTTAATCATGGATTATCAAGTGTTATAACAACAGCACAAACATCAAAAGACAAAACAGATAAATAGAACCTCATTAAAATTCTTTTCCCCCTTCAAGGACTTTATTTAAAAAGAGAAGAAACACATACAAATTAGAAGAAAATCTCCAAAAACCTTATATCCAATATGTCTAATATTCAAAATGTATCTAACACTTATTCAACTTCTTGTTGTTGTTGTTGTTATGTGCCATCCAGTTGCTTGCAACTCATACCGACCCTATGTACAACAGCCCTAAACTCTGCTCTGTCCTGTGCCAATCGCACTGTCACTGACACACCCATCCCAATTACCACGGTCACTGAATCAATCCACCTCAAAGAGGGCCTTCCCCTCCTGTGCTGTCCCTCCACCCTACCAAGCATGATGTCCCTCTCCAAGAACCGGTCTCTCCTTACAACATGTCCAAAGTAGGTTAGACAGAGCCTCAGAATACTTGCCTCCAAGGAGCCACCCAGTTTAACCCTTTCCAGTATGAGTCTGCTTGTTTTCCTAGCAATCCATGGTACCCTCAATACTTTTCTTCAGCATCACAGCTTAAAGGCATCAATTAGTCATTGTCCAACTCTCTGATGCATACGAAGTGATAGCAAAGACCAGGGCCTGTATCAGATGCATCTTAGTCTCCAGAGAGACACCATTGCTCTTCAGTACTTTTGGAGAGGTCCTTAACAGCAGACTTTCCCATGGCAATACATCTATTCATTTCCTGGCTACTGGTGCTGAGAGTGTTGACTGTGAAGTCAAGCAGACTAAAGCTGTGAACACTCTCAATCTCTTCACCATCCATCCTGATGCTGCCAATTGGTCTAGTGGTGAGAACCTTTGTCTTCTTGACATTGAGTCTCAATCCATATTGGAGGCTACAGTCCTTGACC